TATCATCAATACTTTAGTATGATTTCATAGTATACATCTTCTCATATTCCTTTTTTCTAGCCTCTGCAAAGTGTAAGCATTTATACATACTTTATCTTAATTGTTATTAGCATTGCTATTTCAATAGGTCAATAATTTAACATAATTGTATAAGTATAAACAATATGCAATCATACACTTAATATGATGTTATCACTTAATCACTTAATCACTTAATCCCCGTTATTCATCGATTTATTCGAGCGGGTGACAGTAATGTCTCCATTCATCCCGGTTGCGTGCTAGCGTAGCCCAATGGTATCTGTTCGTTCTAGGAACATGCAGAGCCTCAAACCGATCATTTAGGGTCTTGACGAAGAAGTCTGACCATCTTATAGGTGGGCATCCATGTGATCTTTTGATGTCCCGTGGAATCCAATCAGTAATGGCTCTAGTCCAGCGGTTGTCTGTAAACCTCATTACGTGTCCAGCCCATCTGATTTTTGATGTCCTGGCAAATGAGACAGCGTCCCTGATTCTTGAGCGTTGACGAAGATCAGAACTCCGGATTCTATCTCTCATTTGAGTGAATCGTAATATTCCAAGCATAGTTCTTTCGATTCCTCTTTGAGAGACCCGAATAGCGTTCTCATCCTGTTTTCGTAGGGTCCAGGTCTCTGAGGCATATGTTAATGCAGGAAGAATAGTGGAATCAAAGAGATGTGCTCGTAGCTGGAGGTTCGTTGTCTTTTTAGTTATTTCTTCAATGCTCTTGAATGCATTCCAAGCTGCTCTCTTCCTCCTGCGCAACTCAGGTGCCAGGTCATTCATCATGTTGATTTCTCGACCTAGGTATATATAACTGTTGCATTCGGAGATGGTGGTTCCATTGAGAGCGAATGGAGCGTCAAGAACAAGGCTGTTTCTCATAAACATTGTCTTCGTAAGATTCAGCTGTAGTCCGACCTTTCCACACTCACGGTCAAAGTCGGCCAGCAATTGTGCCTCTTGGCTGATGTTTGGTGTTATTAGAACGATGTCATCAGCAAAGCAGAGGTGGTGTAGTTGCCGACCATCTATCTTCACTCCCATGTTTTCCCATTCCAGTCGTCATATGATGTTCTCGAGGGTGGCACTGAAGAGTTTTGGTGAAATGGTATCACCCTGCCGAACCCCTCTCTTGATATGGATGATTACTTCTTTGTAGAATGGTGAGATCTTGGTAGTGAATCTGCAATAGAGCTCACGAAGGATCCTGATGTATTGAGTTTGTACGCCCTGATTGGCTAGGGCTTCCATGACCGCTTCTGTCTCAACAGAATCAAAGGCCTTCTTTAAATCAATGAAGGTTAGACAGAGCGGCATCTTGAACTCCCGAGATACCTCAATGAGCTTGGTTATTGTGTGGATATGGTCTATGGTACTGAATCCTTTTCAGAATCCAGCTTGTTCACATGGTTGTCCTTCATCTAGTGTTCTGCTAATCCTATTCAGGATGACTCGAGTGAATAGTTTGTAGATGACAGACAATAGGCAGATTGGGCGATAGTTGCCAATATCGTGGATGTCTCCTTTCTTGTATAGTAGTACAGTCCTGCTGGTTTTCCATTGGGATGGAACCTTGCATTCAGACAGGTAGTGTGTGAAGAGTCGAGCCAATGTATTGATGAGTACTGATGGTAAGTTCTTCAGGTGTTCAGGTCTGATCTTGTCTGGGCCAGGTGTTCTTTGTTTCTTTACCGACGAGATGGCATGTTGGATTTCGGAAGGGAGAACATTGGGAACGACATATCCATCATGTGGTATGTGGTATGTGGGCAAGTGGATGTGGCTATTAAAGAGATCTGAGTAGAAGTCATGAATAATCTTCTCCATTGCCCTTCTGGAGATGTTATAATGTTGTTATAATGTACTCAAATATTATATGTCATATCATTTAGCATTATTATAATTTAATCACTGTCCATCTTGGACATTTTGGTTTCTTCCTTAATTCTGTATAAAAAATAATGTTGAAGTAAATATTGTCATGCATCTAGTCTTACATTTTAAAGTACTTTTCTATATTGGATTCTTTTTTCTAAAATATGATGGTTGTTTTTATTTATTTATTTATTTATATTTTGGGGGGAGAGCTTTTTGGGCCATACCCGGTGATGCACAGGGGTTATTCCTGGCTCATGCACTCAGAATTAGTCTTGGCGGTACTTGGGGGACCATATGGGATGCTGGGAATCTAACCCGGTCAGCTGCATGCAAGGCAAATGCCCTACCCACTGTGCTATCGCTCTAGTTCCTCAATTTTGGATTCTTACCTGGGATTAACAGGACAAAAACTGTGTGTGTGTGTGTGTGTGTGTGTGTGTGTGTGTTATCAAGGAAGTGTATGTGGGTGTTGATAAATTTTTCTTGATCACTAACAGTATAAAATAACTATTATATATTCTAGTTCATCTTGTTATTATTAGAAATTATTACAAAATGCATTTTACTATTATATATGAAAATTAAGATTATTTTTCTTTACATAAATGCCATTTAAAAATGTATTTTTTTCAAATAGCTGTAGTTGTTTAGTGAGTGTATTCATACTCTGCTGATTGATGCGTGAGAAAATTATTCCTGGGTGGGTACTATTATTTTCAGGTGAGCAAACTGATTCACAGAAATGATGGAATTTCCCTTGAGGATATTCAACTAATTTGACCAAATGTTGAATCCATGGAGACTTACTTTAGACACCATATTTATTTACTAGTGTTTCCTAAAAGAACATCTTCAACAACAGAGACGTTCTCTATATGTGCTGTTTAATAAGACAACCACTTGCCACATGCCTAGGTGTTAACACATTGCTGCTATGTTTCAGGAAGGAAATTGCAGTAACATTTACTTTTAAGATTAGTATGTGGCTACTGAATGCCATATTGAACAACATAGCTTTCAACAATAAACCACTGGGCAATAATTTCAAGGAAAGGTTACATCTTATTTACATTTATATATCTGATACTAGAAAAGGGGCTGGAGTGATAGCACAGTGGTAGAGTGTTTGCCTTTTACACAGCTGACCTGGGTTCGATTCCTCCGTCCCTCTCAGAGAGCCCGGCAAGCTACCAAGAGTATCCCACCCTCAAGCCAGAGCCTGGCAAGCTCCCCATGGCGAATTCGAAAAGCCAAAAACAGTAACAACTAGTCTCACAAAGGAGATGTTACTGGTGCTCGCTCAAGCAAATCGATGAACAATGGGAGGACAGTACTACAGTGACAGTGATACTGGAAAAATAAAAATTAAATTGTATCTTAACTGATTTATCAGTCAAAAGGAATAAGGGATATAGGGTGTGAAGATAAGTAAAAATGGTTCTCTGAAAGCAACAAGTTGTGAAAAAGCATATTTGATTTGCCTATCACTGCTCAAAAATAATGATATAAATTAAGGAAGTAGGGGCTGAAGAGATAGTACAATGGGTAGGGAGTTTGCCTTGCACACAGCTGACCCAGGTTTGATCCCCAGCACCACATGAGCCCTACTAGGAGTGATTCCTGAGCACAGAGCCAGGAGTAAGCCCTGAGCACCAACAGCAAAAACAAACAAAAAGAGTATAAGGAACTGAATGAAAGAAATTATATATGTCAGTAATACTGAAGATTCGACATACGCACTGTGAAATGTACTTATAAAATGCATTTCGAAGCAACACTGTCACTGAGTTCTAACTTAGCAACAGCACCGTTAACACAGTAATAGTAGTAACTTTTAAATTTGCTAATTTACTTTCAGAAAACATTGAAAATGTTAACTCAAAAAGCTTTGCCTGATTGACAAATTGTACTGATTGAAAGAGCTAAAATTTGGGTTTCAAACAGATAATGATAGTATATCAAAGAATAAAGTATTTTATGTTTTTTGTCCTGCTATATCAAGGCACTTTAGTAAGAATTTGTACTAAGTGAATCTGAATTAAATTTCTCTACTTTTAAAATAGTGATACTTTCAAAAACAGCATTTACAGATATTTGACTATTCTATATGAATCTGGTGTCTTTAATCAGCTGCTGTTGTTAAATCCTTCAGATTACTTATTTAGTTTTGCTATTGATTCCAAAATTATGACTTTGAGAAAAACATAAATACTTAGAAAGAATCATCAAATAATCTAATTTCAATTTCTTCACTACCTATATGCTATATATGGTCAACATTATATCTATTTTTTTTATTTGTATTAAAATAAAAGGCACAATGAATGTTCTATTTTCCTGCTAAAAATAGAAAATTGTTACAACGATTTTTTCCAACTGAAAAATAAAGACAGCAAATAACATCTTAAATTATTCAGTTCAATGTAAATGAATACAACAAGGTAAGAAACATACCCACTTTTTTTTTTCTTATATTGATTTTCTGCTTTGGAAAGATACTTGCTTTATTGGTAAATCTTAATAAAAGATCTCATGAGATAGTATCAGATAAAAAGTCAATAAAATAATAGTTTTCTGCCTGCCACAGAGGCAGGGCGGGATGGGGGGTGTGGGGGGTAGGAGGGATATTGGGATAAGTGGTGGTGGAGGATGGACGCTGGTGGAGGGATGGGTACTTGATCATTATATAACTGAAACCCAGGCACACAAATTTGTAAGTCTACAACTGTACCTCATGGTCTTTCACTAATAAAAATTACAAAAAAAAAGACACATGAAATTTAGTGTTTAGCTTTATTTTTCCTCTAAGGTTTGTACCGTTAGATATTTTAGGATAATTTAAGTGGGCTTTTTCTGTTCAGATGATATAAACAACCAATTATTCCGTTTCTGACCATATGCCTCCTTCTAGAGCAAGCACTAGAAGGTCCACATTAGCCCTTCTTGGCATAACATAGCTGAACGGCACTGCTCCCACTTACGTTTGAATGCTAAATGGAGAGAGAAAAGGCTTCCCATTGTCCAGGTTTAAGCACGTTACTACCTAGCTGAGCCCAGGGTGCAGCTGGCCTAGTCTTGAATCTAAAGAGCTTTACCTTGCACTGGCAGAGAGTACACTCAGTGCCACGTTTGATCCACGAGGACCCAGTGAAGCGAACCACATTCATCTCATCCAGGCAAGTTTTGGTGATGTCATTGCGGATCGTGTCAGCCTGGCAGGGATCAGTGACGCAGCGAGGACAGCACTCGTTTTCTGGGAGAACACTGAATTCGCACTCCACCTCTGGACAAGGCAGGGGCCAGCAGTCAACTTCCCCTTGCTTGTAAGGAGGACAAAGTGTGAAGGCAGAGGGAAAGAGGAGGGGCAGGGGACAGGAGAGGGAAGGCAGGGCGGGAAGAAGAGAGTTTACCAAATAGTTGCTCAATTTGGTTGATGAGTATTTACAAGACATTCAAAATCTTAAGTTTTGCAGGTAATCTACATAATTCCTGTTAGAGTGGGAACTATGATATAGGGCTGAATTCTAAATCTTTAAGCATTAAATATGACCAACATTAAAACAAAAGCAAAATTAATTACTTAAAAATAATCAGATTTGCATGTTGCCATATTTCTCATTAGGGCTGGAGCAATAGCACAGCGGGTGGGGCGTTTGCCTTGCACCCAGCCAACCTGGCTGACCCGGGTTCGATTCCTCCACCCCTCTTGGAAAGCCTAGCAAGCTACCGAGAGTATCTCGCCCACATGGCAAAGCCTGGAAAGCTCCCCTGATGTATTAGATATGCCAAACATTGTAACAACAAGTGTCACAATGGAGATGTTACTGGGCCCACTTGAGCAGAGCGAATCAATGAACAATGGGAGGACAGTGCTACAGACAGTGCATATTTCCCATGATGAATTATTTATTATGAGGGATATTTTAATTCTTTTGTTTTTTGTCTTTATTCTTTTACCACCCCACCCCCCCATGCCAATTTAACATTTATAACAAGATGAACTGAAGACAGAAATTTGGCAGTTTTTCATTTTTCATTCATATATTTCTCAGTGGAGATACTTTAAAAATATAAAGTAGAAACTGATTTCAGCCTTCCTTCTATTCCACATTGGATAACTGTATGAATTAGATCTTTTTAAAATTTAGCTCTAACGTGATTCCTATTTTCCTCATAATTTTGAATCTCACGGTTTTGGAGATGAAAGCAACCTTCAGATACAGAAACTGACCTTGTACTTTCAATTGACTTTGAGGTTGAAAGAGGAAAAAGGAAGCACCAGCAACAAAGAAACATTGCTTAAAAGCATCCCCACAAAAATAGAAAGGATAAATGTTACAAGAATTGCCTGTGAAATTTTGCCTATAAATGAATACATATCAATCTTTCTTTTACTTATACCACTAATAAGAAATAAGCAACCATGAATTTGTACCAATTAAAAAAGACTGGTGTTTCACTGAGTTTTATTTTTAGTTTTTCCAACATTACCTTTGATCTTAGACAGTGTTGGCTGTCAGGATCACCTCTGCAGTGCCTGGCACTGGATGAAGCTGGGGATGAAACTTTGAAGACATTGGGCTGTCTTGGGGACCCTTTCTTGCTCAGGCTCCCATCTAGAATAGCTGCCAGGAACCCCGGCATGTGAAGAGGGCCCCAGAATCTTAACTCATATCTGCTGAGCAAGCACTTATAGCCGCTCAGTCATATTCTCAGCCCCTAAGTTTCTTTTCAGCCTATTTGAAAGGGATGTTTTACAAATGCACACATTCAATTCTAAAATTAGGTTTAACATTTATTTTATCAAGACCATGTGTAAAATCAGGTGTTCACTAGGGGCCAGGGGGATAGTAGCAGGGTTCGGGTGCATGCCTTGCTTGCAACTGATCCAACTTTCATACTCAGCACTACCTGGTCCCCTTAGCTAGGCACGTCCCTGGAGACCTAAGCATGTCCATGGTGGTCTGAGTAATCACTGGCACTGCTATGCCCTAGCAAGAGTGCATTGTCACACCTTCTATGGACACCCAAAATGTTCCATCCACATTCCCTGGTCCACTGAGCACCACTTCCATCTTCCCTCTTCCTAAGTCCCCGAGAAAACCCCCAGAACACCTCAGAACACTGACAGCAACAATTCTCAGAAGGAAATTTTTGTTTGTTTTGGGGGGAGGGAAGACTGGGGTGTGTGGGGGAGGGGAGATTGGAGTGTGTGTGAGTGTGTAAGTATGTGTGTGTGTGTATATGTGTGTTAGTGTGTGTTTGTGTGTGTGTGTTGCCTGAGCATGGTTGGTAGACTGGATTCACAAAAGTGCTACTTGGTCATAAATGATTTATTTTTCGTGAATGTACTTGTTTTAAACATAGTTGTCTAAGCTTAAGCTGGAAGGGACTGGGAAACTAGTGAAGTCTTTTAAGCATACCTATTCTTTGAGATCTACTTCAGATTCCTTCTTCTCCTGTCCCGATTCCATAACATCATCTTTCCATTTGAACAGGCTCACCATTTCCACCTGCCCAGAATGAGGCTAGCTTCTGAGTACTGGGAGTGAGGAGAGCAAGATCGCTTTCCTAGATGAGATTCTGGGTCTAACAATCTCCTCTATTTCCATCTCCCCTAGTGAAACTTACCAAGCAGCGGCACTGTTGGCAATTCTGGACCCAGTTGTCACCGCTATTGTACAGAGTTTCACCATTTTGATGGAGGCACTGACTGCTGAGCCTCGGGTCACACTCGGGGCAGCAGAAGAGATCCACGGTAGGATTCTCACAGTCACAGACCATCCGGCGACACATCACAAATCCGTTCTGTAGAAGAAGAGAAAGATATGCATTTCTCCATATACTAACAACACACACTTATGTAACTCAGATGTAGATTCGAAAATTGGGATTCTTTATACTTTTTATTCAGTCTAATTAATTTCCTTTAAATTCCATTTGGTAACTATCACACAGAACTTATTTCAAGTGGGGAACTTCAATTTCCTTGTCATACATTACTACTCAAATGACTAACAAAAAACAAGTATTCCAGAAATTACCAGTATAAACTGACACCACTGTAGTTATTAGGTGTACATGAATGTGCTTAGTAAATTAAAAATTACATTTTATTTTGGGTAAGGTCATGTTGTGATTATATTTGGTATTAAATCACATGCTTTATAAGTTGCTGTTTATGGAATATATATAAATATGGAATAAATATTTTAGGCATATTTCTGTGTAGGCTGTTAATAATTATTTTCATAATAGTTGCCTCGGTACCTAATATTATTCATTAAATCTTTGTTATCAAAATGCAACATGTATCTAAAGCACAATGTAATCCATATTATGTATATATTTTTTCTTCGTACTTATGTTCATTCTTATTTCATATGCATATGATACTATAATTTTGGAAACATTAGTATAGTTAGAAATAAAATCTTGGATGGGGACTAAGCCTCCTCCACTCAGATCCCCAGTTTTCCAGTAGCTTGGCAGTCACATCCACAAACTGCCCCTGGCCCCATGTAATGTCATCAATGGCTAAGATCCAGAGACTATAAAATAAAGCTCCCAAAAGAGAGCGATACAGTATTTCCTGGAGCATAGGGTCACATTTGCGGCCACGAGACCTCTTATACTCTAGCCCACTGATGTACCTCAAGTAACACATGTGTGTTTGGTTTTAATGTACTAGCTTGTATTCTTGTATATACTAGCTTAAATGGCCTCAGAATGAAATACAGCAACCTTTACACACTTCCCTCTTATTGTGGTGGGAAGTTGCTTGTTGATTGGGTGGATATTTGAATATTATCTGTAATGAATTATTGTGAACTAATTTCTGAATATAAAATGTATAAAAATCACAAAAAAAGACACTGTAACTAAGAAAACTAAGATAAAATGGACTTATATCTCCAAAAGAAAACAAAATAAAATATTACTAATATGTGAGTACATAAATACATTTTAGTATTTCCATACAATGAGATACTATTCAGTAACAAAAATAAACGAGCTAATTATATATGTAAAATTATAAGTGAATGTCAAAATATATTTATTTATTTTTGGTGTTTTGGGCCACATTTTGCATTCTCTGGGAGTTTCTCTCAGTTCTGTGCTCAGGTTGTTCTCAGCAGTGCTCAGGGGACCATGTTGTACTTGGGAAATATTTTAGTCATACCAACCTGACATGAGCATACAGAACATCGGTCATTTTCCAATACCCAAATCTGACCACTGTGCTTAATTTTTCCATCATGGATGCAGTCCCCTGTGCAGTTCTTTCCATGAGGACATCGGCAATCATATCCACCATCCAAGTTAAAGCAAATAGTATCATTGGCACAGCTATGCCTCCCAGTTCCACACTCATCGATATCTACAGTAAAAGAAAATAAATAAAGTCAGACAATGTACTTAGAATATGTTTCTTTGAAACTATTGCAATCAAGCAAGCTGTCTCTTGACATAAGCATTTGACTATAAATTACTTTTCATCTACTGACATGCACTTCCTTTTATATGCTGACGAAATTGATGTTAATTATTTAAGAATTTCACAGACATATTATAATCCTTGATTTCAAACGTGGTAACATGATTAGATTTGTAATTTTTAGAGCTCTCTGAAAATTATTATGCTTTACACTATACATTATTTGAGAGTAAGAATAGGATTCAGAATTTTGATTTCAAGAGACTCAGCTCTACAGCTTCCAAGTCTTTGTTTGCTGCACCAGCCCTCCAGGTAGACCCATCTTCTTGCTGAGAGTTCAGGCATTTTTGTAGCAAGATGGACAGATTTCCCCTCCCTTTCGGTTAGGGCAGACGACCCACACTTCCAGATTGGCCCAGCTAGCCAGAAAGTTTCTCATCAAATATCACACTTCTCATATTTATACTTCCTGTAACTGGTGACGAGGGCATGGAAGGAAAAGAGGGATTCCCAGATTAATTCCTTAGAGAATTCCAGGTGACTCAATACAAAAATTCACCCACAGCACTGCAGGAGCACAGCAAACTCACAAAGCCCATCAAGATTGATGTGCAAAAACACCCAAGAAAGGCCGAGATTAGTACCAGGAACTTTACTCCATGGCTTGGAGGCCAACCACACATACTAGGGGAAAAGGGAGCTCAGATAGAGAAGGGAACACCAAATAAAGGTGTTGGGAGGATACTCCCAGGATGGGAGAAGCATGCTGAAAATAGACTATAGACCAAACATGATTGTCACCCATTGCCTCTTTTGCAAACCACAACACCCAATAAGAGAGAGAGAACAAAAGGGAATGCCCTGCCACAGAGGCAGGGTGGGATGGGGGAATGGGGGGTGGGAGGGATACTGGGATACGTGGTGGTAGGAAATGGGCACTGGTGGAGGGATGGGCATTTGATCATTGTATAACTGAAACCCAAGCACAGAAATTTGTAAGTCTACAACTGTATCTCATGATGTCTCACTAATAAAAACAAACAAACAAACAAACAAACAAAAAACAGCAATGTAGAAGGCTCACCAGCAGCAATCAATCCTCAGACAACTTTAGTGACCCCATGGTGGAATGTTTAATGAATTCAACAAATGATGGCATAGGTAGTCAGCAAAGTGCAAAATAAGCATGAGTGCTGAAATGAGAAAGCTAAAAACAGAAATGAAGAGTATGGTAGGTCTATTAAAAAAAATTCCAACAGGAGCTTTAGCGGCAGATTGACAGCAGCTGAAGAGAAAATCAAGGAGCTGTAAGATGACATGGAGAAAAATACTCCTAATAACAACAGAAGGTAGAAAAAAAATGCAGACCAGATAACTATGGGATAAGTTAAAGAGGAACAATTTAAGAATAATTAGAGTCGCTGAAGACCAGAAAGGCAAATTCAGTGAAGAAACATCTAAAGATATCATCAAAAAGAATCTCTCAGTTGAGAAATATAGGTAATGATATTCAAGACGCCTGAAGAGTCTCAGTGAAACTAAACTCAAAAACTCCAAAATGCTCTGAACCCAAAATGACAAAATCCAAAGACAGAAACAGAATACTGAAAGTTGCAAGATCAAAAATAAACTTAGATACAAAAACTCCCACAAGATCTACAGCAGATTTATCAAATGAGACTTTATGATCCAGAAGATAGTGGAAAGGTCACTGTCACTGTCACTGTCCTCCTGTTGTTCATCTATTTGCTTGAACAGGCCCAGTAATTTTGAGACTTGTTGTTACTGTGTTTGGCATATCGAATACATCAGGGGGAGCTTGCCAGGCTTTGCCATGCCAGTGAGATACTCTCTGTAGCTTGCCGTGCTCTCGGAGAGGGGCGGAGAAAACGAACCCCTGCTCGGCCGGGCTGGCTGCATGCAAGGCAAACGCCCTACCGCTGTGCTATAGTACAAAAATTCAATTAACTGAACAAGTCACCCTCGATTTCTATTTAGCTTATCATTCAGATTTGAAAGAATGATACCAAGCTTCAGAGAAAGACATAGTCTTAGCAAATCTATAGCCCTGAGACCCCTCTTGCAGGAAACATTGAAGGAGCGCCTTTAAAAGGAAACACAAACTCCTTGGAACTTGGCATTGAGTATAGCACTTACTCCTGGTGCTTATCGATGCCCCTGCTAAATAAAAGAATGTTTGTTTACTCCTATTCTTCTTAGGGATTTTATATATTTGCAATAACAAATTAACACTTAATTTATATCAAAAGTTATATGTCTGATTAGGTGTCTTTTTCACATCCACAGAGATTTTTATCATAATCTTTTACTAACTAATGTAAACATGTAAGTTTACTATCTTCCACACAACATTTTCTAACATAAAGCCAATATTCCTTTACTTAGGATAAAACAACGTTTATATTTCTATGGCCTATTCAGATTTTCCCCTTAATTTTAAACTCTTCAAACTTGCAAAATTTTGCATTTGTATAAACTCTTTCATATGAATCTTATAATGTGTCATTTTAAGAATTATTCATTGTATTTTAAAAAATTATATGCCTCTTAAAAGATGAAGTTTTTCATTTTTTATTTTTATAATATATCATTAGTTTACAATTTTGTGGAATTCCTGGATTTTAGCTCTATTCACCTATATGAATAGGTATCAACACCTCCACAATAAAAAGGAAGAGAGATATCCCAAATATGAGAAAAAAAAAACATAATAAGGGAACAGCAAATGGTCAAGGCCATCAGAACTGAGGATTTGGGAACCAGAACTGAGCATACACGGAAAAGGGACACTGATGGAAGAAAGGTGACTTTCTTGTAGTAGATGTGGTGTTGGAATGATGATTACATGAGATGTCTGAGCAACAATACTGTAAATGCCAGTACTCCAATAAAAATAGTCTAAGAAAAAAAAAGAATAGGACTGTTTATCAAACAAAAAGAATTTGATGGTGATATTTCTAAAAGTGCCTTTGGTGTCTCATTGAGAAAATCATCCTCAATATTAAAAATCATATGGAGAAAAATCTCCTTATAGTTCAAGGTGAAATCTCATAGAACTCTAAGACATTTTAGTTAATTTCAATCCCTATCTCAAAGGCACTTAGCCCACACAAAGTTCACTGAGTCTTATGTGCAGGTTTTTTCCCCTTATAGTTCAGACATTTTGTAACATCTTGCATTTCACCCACTGAAGGGAAAATCACCACCAGCAATTACCTTTTCTCTCACGATAAATCCCCTTCCTTAAATTTACTACTTCAGGTGCTTGAAGTCCCCTGCCTGACTCAATTCACAGCTGTCCACCCTTTACACACCTTCACTTATTGCACGGTTACCCTGGCCTACAGCATTTTCATATAGATGAAAAGCAAACATGTCTTGACCCAAAGAGCAGGTCTCTTAGAGGAGATGTGATTCATTTTATTTATCCCCATGATTTAAAGGTCATAAGCCAAAATATATTTCAGAGATATTGTATGAGCAGCAGCAGGTAGTTATTTCCCATTTCATCTGTTTCATCTCCGTAAAGGTCAAAGAAAGAAAGAATTAAATCACAGCAGAAAAAATGGCTTAGAGAAAAGTTGGAATGTATAGCCTTTTTCTGGAAATCTACACATTGATTTTTCCTGAAAAATTAAAGATATGCTCATTAAATATATCCCTTACTTCTCAGATTAGAGAAAATGTATCAATGTTATAGAAATACAATTTCATACAATAGCTCTATATTTGATTTATTATTAAAAGTATATTTGATGAGTACTATTTCTCTCATATTAAAACTCTTACTATAATTTGGAATTATTAACAAGTAGATAAATGTTTGCCACAGTTATTCTGTCTCCTTGATCAAAAGCTTTACAAATCTCTTATGACACAACCTTTTAAATATCTACTCCTAAGACATATGGACATTATTGCATTAACAGCGATAGTTGGATATTTTACAATCACTTAGCCTAATATTTAAAATATAAGTGCTGTCTTCAGGCATTTCATTTTCTCTGTCCCTTTCTGTCTCTGTCTCTCTCTCCGTCTCTTTCCCTCTCTCTCTCATTCTTTTTTTTTTTTGACAGTGATAGCATTTTATTATTGACACAGGCAAAAGCTAAAGGAATTTATTCATATGGATGCTTTAAATCATGAAAGTATGATTCTTCTCATTCTTGATTCACACCCAGCAGTGCTCAGGGGTTACTCCCGGTTATCATTCAAACATCGTTCCTGGTGGGCTTGCCAGACATTACAGGGTGTCGGGATTGAACCCAGGTTGGCTACATGCAAGGCAAGCACACTGCCCGCTGTACTAGCCCTCTGGCCTTGCACGTTCCTGTTCTCTTACAGAGTGTCCTTGAATTTACTACAGAAGACAGAGAGATGCCCAGGTACAAAAAGCATATGTTCTCTGAGATTATGTACATTCATAATAAAGAAATAGAATGAGTAGTTGTTCCCAGTAATGAAAAGCATCTATTCCTCAGACTGGAGAAATGTGTAGGCCAATAATTATAAAGGGAAAATGACCTTTTGACTTACTATTACTAGTGGGATTGAATTATTTTAATTCATCTTGCATTTTCAGCTTGTTACCTTCAACCAGTTTTCCAGTGTAAAGACTATTCTCAACTGAATGGTAGTATCATATCCTGGAACTCATCTTTACATCGCTATATCACTGTAATCCCATTTGTTGTTCATCAATTTGCTCAAGTGGGTGCCAGTAACGTCTCCATTCATCTCGGCCCCGAGATTTTAACAGCCTCTCCTTACTTGTTTTTCCCAACGGTGCATCTTTACATATACATGTATGATAACATAAAATTCTTAAAGTGCATATGCCCAGATGGTATATAATCTGCTTTAGAAAAAAATCATTCTGGTATATAAAAATTTCTAATTTTGAAAATATAAAGAACTTGAGT